GCAACGTAATCTCTTCTTTTTGTAAAAACGTAAAAGAAATCTTCGTTCGTTACTTCGTATATATGTTGTGCGAATTATCGATCGGTCGTGAACTCGACGTCCAGAAAAATGTACGTGCTCGCAGGTGCATTCTAATGTGATTCATGCCCTTGCGTTGACTCTAAACTACTATAAAACTAAAAGTTGCAACGAAATACTAGAGTCATTCTTATAAATTTAGCTCGACAAAGATATATGGTAAACTTTTCCTAACAAACAAGACATGGCCACATTAAATGTACAATATTATCCAGAGGAGAGACACGCAAAAGAAAGACGATAAGAAATATTCGACGATTTCAGCTTCAAAATTAAACATTTTTAATATAGGCAAAAGAAGGGCAAAGAGCCAATAATGTAGCAAAGAACTTTAATTTAAATCATAAAATTCATATAATAATTACAAAGGACAAAAAGATACGTTTCGGCTCCGCTCGAGTCATTCTCAATTTTGTGGTAAACTTATTCAAACATCGCTATAAAACAAATATATATAATATTACAAAACTCGTAGTTCTAAAATACGTATTCTTCTTTTGTGTCGTGCGCTGTGAGTCAATAATCGGAAATCAAAATAGTAAGAAAGTAATTGATATTATTATTATGTGAATTTTATGATTTAAATTAAAGTTCTTTGCTATAAGTTATTGGCTCTTTGCCCTTCTTTTGCCTGTACTGTTTTATACTTACAGAGCCTCATTATTATTTATTCATTAAACATTTATATATATATATATATAAATAAAAACTAAAAATATCTAACTGCTTTGTGTATCTAACCGCGTGTGTGTTCTAAAGTTACGTAAAATCTGACTTGTCTCTCGGCCAAGAGGAGCAGTAATCTCGGGATTTTCTGAAGCAGGAACGACTGATTTCCCGAACGTAAAAAGGAAATAACAAGAATATCAATAAAGTGCATTTTATCTCTCTGTGACTCACGCGAGAAATCTAACGAAATACCGAAACGCGATGCACCGTGCACGGATCGATATCGAGCACATCACGATAAGTGTTGTAAAATCTCAGGATTATCTGTTTTTTGATATATTACGCGAAATTTTTCTCAGCAAGAGCATTTCAATATTTATCGAGCACAAGAGTGCGAATAAGTCCTCGTGGATGGTTTTGCACGCTCGTTGCAAAATCTTGCGCGTGTCTTAGTTGCATTTAAGCGTCGAAACTCGAAACAACAAATGTACAAACTCGGCGATGGCAGCCTCGAGATTCTCTTTTTTTTTTCTTTTCGACGTCTGCGAGCCGACGAGGCACGGCAGCGCGCCGTATTGTTTTCATCCCGTAGTCGTGCATTACGTAAATGAGAATAGTACCTCATGCATTGTATCCGATTCACGATGAGTTACGGCGTGATATCCCTTCAACTCCTAATCAACGCGTAAAGTGTTATTCTCTCTTCATATGGAGAAAGCACTTGGGAGAAAATAAATTATCAACACTCGTGAACTTGTCTCGAATGCCATAAAAGTCCTCTAAATAAATATATATGTATATTATAGCTAATTGATTTTATATTTATTTATATTATTTAAAAGTTTGATGTGAAATTCAGTTGAGAAATAACGAGGCATCAAAATTATTGAGATACGTTCTTTCTAATTGTTTATTCATTTCAGTATTTTCGCAAAAAAAGAAAGAATTGCATTCTTTATTAAACAACGAATAATGAATGTTAAATCGATTCGACTCCAAATTGTGAAAAGTATTATCAATTTCATAAACGATCGTCCTAAATTCCAAAATTTAGGAAGACAATTTACGCTTGTTTGTTCCGCTTCATTGACAGTTTTAGGTCACGTCGAAAAGTTTGAAGCGTCCACGCATTACAGTTTAGACGAAAAATTTAAATCTCTTTCTATACTCTCTTTACTTTGCTACTATATAAATAATAAAATTCCGAATTAAAAATTAATAAATATTATTATACAAAGTATTCTAAAAAATATCAAATTAATGTGTACGAAACAGACATTTGAAAGACTTTCTCTCATCTCTTTCACATCATAACATTTTTTATATACAATATTTTAACTCTATATAGTCCGCAGCACTTAAAACGGATGCACTCTTGAGAATTTTATTCTCGATTAGTGGTAACCTCTTGAGAATACGATAATCGAGTATCGCTGTCAATATCGTGTCTATCACGAATCTGTCGTTCGAAAGTTGCTCTCGAAAAGTAAGCGACTTTCAAGCATATATCAAATGGCCTTAGAGTTAACGTTAAGTATCGAGTAATCGTCACTCGAAACGCATCTGCATGCGCGTAATAATTTCTATACGGGATCGTGATTCGTATAACCCAATTCGTCGGTATATCGTGAGGTATCATCACCATCAGGTTCAATTACAGATAATCGCATATACGCGATGTTGCATAGCCAGTCCACCTGCTGTTATAGCGATCTACTCAAGTAAGTCTCACGCTTCCTTATTTTCCTTCTTTACTCTATTTAGATTCACATTACGTTACGTTACATCCGACAATTCTTAATTTCATTCTCTTGCGAACTTTGCATCGAATTAAGCAATAAGTACAATCAAGTACAATCATATACGGATCTCTCAGAAATCAATTTGAGCAACTTTATGAAAAAGTTAATATTACAAATTTTATTGAAATTAAAAATTCAGTTACCAGATATTAACTGGAAATTAAATTATAAACTATTCGTGTATTTTTCAGAAATCAAATAAGAAATTTACTTAAGAAATGGAGTAAATTATAATAATAAAAATGATCAATTCGACTTCTAAGAGACTTATATGTTACTAAAACATAAAATATGTTTACTCCTTTTTACACCTGAAAAAAATTTGGCGAAAACTTAAACTTGTTTAAATTCCAGTAAATATTTTAAGCCAAGTTTATTAAAATTTTAAGAAATTAAAACTTGCAATTAATAAAAATTATATCGCAATGTCCGTCTTTGTAATTAATTAATAATTTCAGACAAGCGTGTTTGCGAGTTATTCCGAGAATTCTCTCGCAAAAATAAAAAATAAGCAAAAATTGTTTAATACATTGTTAAACAATACATATTGTTCCATTTATTAGAATTTCTCTCAAGATATCGGAGTGATTAATGTTATCATCGTCAAGAGTCCGTCTTTCCGCGAATGCTACTTGATGATGAATCTTCATGTCGTACGTTACGTGATTAGACAATATTGCTGTACACCCACGTAAAACCTTGACCTTCAAGTTGACCTTCAGAAACGTGCCAAGATTATTCGGGCAAATCTATACTCGAGGCGCTCGAGCAGCTTTTTCTTTTTTTTTTTTTTACAAATTTTACAACATTCTTAATTAATTCTCTATCTACATAACTTTCAACCAATTATAATTATTGACTCGTTCAGTAAACTACGCAATAAATAAAATTAATTACTTTAATATATCGCGATATTTGTCTAATCTGCCATACGTAGGATTATATTATGTACGTATTTTTAACAATATTAGTTATACTATTAAGTTTATGTACTCTCATTTGTTATTGAATAATATCGTATATAAGTAAGAATAATAGTATTTTTATTATTTATTGTATAGTGAAGTAATCAAAAACAAATGAAAATAAATTTACATATCGAATCGGAAAAAAATACTTAAAAAACTTTACGAAATCATCTTTCCAAGACATCATACAAGGCCAACTTATACGTTATTCTTAACGCAACTTCTAATTTTAATGCCTAATTGTATTTTTGTCCATGCCGCTGCTTATTATTCAATTTCTGTTTGGCATTCATCTCTAACATTGTTCAATTTGTGATAAGCACTATAATGTAAATCTAGATTGCAACAGTGCGTTAAATTGCATTAACTGATATTCGAATCACATATCGTGAGTACAAGCAATATCTACGCAAAGTATAGTGTTTTTTGCAGATTTTTTTTCGCAATTACGCGTAAATGATAATTTCGCGTCAAGCAACATGGACGGAACAGCGAGGAAGGTGAAGATTGTCATACACTGTACAACTAGCAATTATATTTCCCACAAGGACGTAAAGAATTTTACCTTGTAGCTCTCAAGGTACAGCGTTACAAATTCCATCATATCTAACAAAGTAACATCGAGCAACGAATCATCTTATTCAAATAGGCGAGTCACGCCTTGAATGCACTGGGTGTCGAGATGCAAAAATAATACGACAAAAATAATAAGAATCAGAGCTGTATGTTCGCATGTAGCGACTTTGAAATCTTAGATAAGCGGGAAATGTGTATACAGACGCGGATTATTTGTTCGTCATTCGCATATCGTGCGCAGAAACGAGTTTACATCGGCGACACACGGCGATGACGGCGGTGACGGCGGTGACGGGACGCTAGGAATCCGAAACTCGCGGAATCCTTCCGCGAGAGAATCAGAGAGTCAACGGACCGTCCCATCTCTCCTCGTCCTCGTCTCTCCTCCCGGCCGTCCTCGTCCCGTTTAGTCTCCCGCAATGAAGTGCGCGTATCGCGTCTTGTCTTGCTCCTCGGCAGCCACGCGATCGAACAGTTTTTTTCGAGCATCATGCGAAACAGGTATTCGACGTCGCTCGACTCCTCGAGACGAAGACGCGAGGGGGGAGGTAGATGGGTAGATAGGTTAGGTAAAACCCTCACTCGCGAATATCGTCATCGTGAAATTGCGACGACGCGGCGCCGCGCGCGAATAAAATATGAAAATATAGAGACTCTTCGAGAGAAATAAAAAAAGAGAGAGACAGAGAAATTAGGCGCTGCCGAATACAAGCAAGAGAAGGTCGAGCGCGAAGGACGCGACCGTTGCCGTTGCCGCAGGCAGGCAGCGAGTTTGAAACGTCGCTCGCTTTTGCGGAGCAAGCGCGACGGCGCCATCGCGAAAGACGGATAGTGGAACTTGGCGGCCGTTCGAAATGTCGTCGCTCTTCTCGTCGCTTTTTGTCGCAAGAATAGAACGTACACTCACCACTTGCAGTCGAACAAAAATCCCCCGGCGCGACGTCCCTTTCGTTGGACCGGCGATAATCCACGTGACGGATGCAACAAAGATGCGTACACCGCGATCATAATCGCGGGACACTCACGCGCGATGCAACACACGCATGATACATACGCTTGTAACGGCGCACGCGGCCGCGATTTTACGTGATGCAACGTGCGAAGGGAGACAACAAGAAAAGAGGAGAGAGAGGCACGTCGTTGATTTGACGCATAGACGAAAAGCGCGGGGAACGCGACGCGCGCGACACACGTTCACTCGCGATCGCTTTGCCTCACAGAGTCACAACTCACAGCTCGCAGTCGCGCTCGCGCGTGCCCGACTGCCCGCCCGCGGCTCCGCTCCGTCATCAACTCCGAACAATCCGAACCACGAACGTCCGAACTCGAGCCGAGCCGCCGAGCGCCGAACTCCGCTCCGAAACTTCCGACTTGCTCCGATTCCTACTTCGTGCATCTTCGTGCAACTTCGCCTTTCCCCATCCTCTCTTATTCCGTTTATACCGTCGAGCCATTCGATATTATTCGGTAGCACTCGGCTACACTCGGCGCCGCTCGCTCCAAATTCGAAACACAAACCAAACGAATGCACGTAATCCATTTGAATTTTACAATAGAAGAATGAAATCTTTCTTGTATTGTATTTAATTCCAAGAGAAAGAGAGATAATTTACAATGTATATAAAACGATATACGAATTAGTTATTATATAAAAAATTCTCGTTCTTTCGTTGCGTAATAAACTTGGTAACAAAATATTGTTAATATCAAAAAATTAAGCATATTGTAGTAATTTAATTTTTAATAAATCTAAAAATCTATTAATAATAATTCATATAAATAAGTAAAGAAACTCGTCAAAAATAATTTCTATTTGTAATTGGAAACGAAAGAAAAATAAAACTAAATAGAATGAAAAATATCATAGCTTATTATGGAAATATTAGAAAATTAGAAGACAAAGTCTGTATAGATAAAATGCAAACTTTTTTATTTTCATATTTCTGAGTTTTTATTCAAACGTATCACATAGCTTTTTTATTTTTACTGTCTCCATTTTCCATGTGCGTGTCTTTCCTTAATTCGTAGATCTATAAAAAGAAAACATAGTGATTATCTAAATATCGTAAACTGCAAAGAAACAAGTACCGTTTCTCTTTACTCACCTGTACATATGCTTCGGTAAGGGTGATCATTTGGGGTAAAATTTGTGTGACGTGCAAATCCTGCAATTCGTACCATTGGCCTGTGGCTTTATGCAAAATATGAACTCTATATGTACCTTGTCCAGGTTCACCATCGTGTACTATATTAGCTACTAAGTCATACGTTGTATATGGATGCTTGGCTTTTACTTCCGATGTTAAAATATCTCCAAAATCGACATTTCTGCCAACATAATCAAGATTTATAATTAAATATTGATAATTTAATAAATTTTTTAATACACAGTAGTATACGAAACGAGAAAATATTATATACTCACTTAACAGGAAAATTCACAATTGTTGGATTTTTTTCAACAAAGAATGTATTTTTTGTAAATCTCTAAAATCAATAAAAAATTATCAAATAATACAAAATAATATATCGACACTAATAGTAGATATAAGACTTACTTTTATGTAAAGTATGAGATATGGTGGTAGTTCGGTAATCTCAAATCTTTTCATGAAATTTTCCTTGTAAGTTTTATATTCTTTCTCAGTGACGGCGTTAAATTTATTCAGGAGCGTATACAGATTTACCTGGATGAATAATAATAAGAGGCGATTTTTTATTTCTCTGCTATATTTCATTTATGTGATCAATATTATATGCGTGTAACAAAATACCTGTGGAATAATATTTTCTGTAAATTGATCTTTAAATAGTGGAGGTGGCGGAAGATCGCAAGTGAGATATAAAAATGGACTTTCCGTCACAGTTTCACCATACTCCACCGTGTGTAACAATTCACTTCTTTGACTCTCCTCTAATTCCAATGGTGGTATTTTTCGCGTATATATTCGCATATGACCCAAAAATGTTTTATAAATGATGCTAGAATCACGCTTTTTTGTACCATTTAATGCCAGATGAAGAGCATTTAAGAACCATGATAAAAAATCCACGGGATCGCCTAAACATAATTACTTATTGGTAAAAACACTATTTTAATTATGTAAAAAAAAATACAAGTTGATGAAATCTGTTACACACCTTGCTCTGTGAACTGAAATCTTTTCTTGCTCCATAAGACTACCGCTTGTAGCATTTCGTGTGGGCTTACATGCGCTTTAAAATTACGTGGATTCCATAATTTGCGCATAAGTTCTCCAAACCTTTGTACCAAAAGATACGATGAATCACCAGGTGGTCTCCTTACATGAGCATAGTTAGATTCTCTTAAAAAGAAATCTCTCAAAGGTGTAACATGCGAGAGCGCCTATAAAAAAAATATTAAGATGACAAAATGCATAGAATGTCAATAGTTATTTATTTAAAATTATAAACTACATTACTTGTAAAATGACATTGCAATAATCATTTGCTTTTATGTTATTCATTCCTACTATTCCTGGTGAATACATAGAGCCATCGATTGCTCTAGACTGTTTATCACTCTTGTCTAGCTGAGCTATTTGCATTTTATCGAAAGTTGGATTTAACACATATTTAATATCATCCAGAGACGAATCTAATAAACATATAAAATGTTACTTGCTAAAGAAGACATAGACATAAAGAATGAATTTACCTACCTACTATCTCGTAATTATCTGGTAAACAATAAAATTTGAGCGTGTGCAAATTAAGAAAAACATGATGACTCTCTGCCACGCTATGTGTGTAAGCATGAGTATTAGTGCCTCTGCCTTGGAAATATTTACCGCAAACCAGACAAGCATACACATTAATCCTAGATAGTGATACAGAACACAATTTTTCAAAGTCAAAATCCAGAAATTGTCGATTAATCGTGTCCAAATACGGACACAATCGCGGCGCTTCTGATTTCATTTTTATATACTTTGCAGTCTCTGTAAGAAAAAAATACGCCTATGAGATAATAATATTATAGGTTATGTTTTAAGTAATAAGTAAAAAGAGTGAACATGAGATTATTTCACTTTCTCTATTGATTATTTTACTTTCTCGTTTTACTTTCTCAATTATATATCAATGCTCCTAAATGTATTATTGTAAAAATTCATGTAAGGATAAGAAAATATCATGGCAAACATTTAACCTCATTTAACCTCAAACTGCACTTATTTCATTAAAGTTGTTATGTATCTAGAATGTATTGATTTAAATCAACAATATAATACATCATACAAAATTGCTCACTTTCTGTTTCATTGTCCGAGTCGCTTCCTGTATCGACCAATTTTCGTTTCAGAGTACTTCGTCTATCGGACGCCATTTCCGACGATTTCTGTTATACATCATACATATACAGACTACGGCACGCAAAAATTCACTTATGTATGTGAATGTAATCTTTAAACCTACTCAAACAAATTCGCACGATATATATTAACGACATCTCTTATTCACAAAAAGTTGATCAATTCAACATTTTAGAGTTTAAAAAACATTGCGATATAAGGATCTCTCATCAGATATCGATTTTATTTTTCGGATCGGTCGATAAAATAATCATATAACTTAATGATATAATCATATAATCATATTATGTAATAATCGAGCATATAGTGCATCCGATACGTGGGAATTCCACAATTTCCGAACTCTAATTGCTCGAATTGCTCCGATCGTGTATTGTGCGTGTAAGTTATGTTAGGTTATGTTAGCTAAACGCACGTGGTGTGTCCCGTTTCACTTTTTAATTGCATCTTTATACACTTTCTACACTCAAAACTGAGACGAATGTATGTAATTCAGGTAATTCTGCTCAATTTTGCAAAGGAGTGGGAAAAAAACGAGATCTCAAAAGTGCAAATGCAACGTGTATATTCCATGTGTGCGTACAATCGACGGCATAAATAGGATAACAGTGGTGAGTAGACAGAATAGACTGTAGAGAATTCCTTTTTATACCTATATGTAACGGAATATTCTCGGGAACGTTCGGAAGCGTTTCGTAGAGTTTGAACGAAACAACGAAAGAGAAAGAGATAGATCTATTAAAACTACATTATTCCACAAGTATGGTTCCTGGATTTTAGCTGACTCTGCACTTGCAGTAATTGATGATATTTATCAGTTCATTCGATCAGAGGAATCAGAGGAATTACAAAAAGTATTGTGTAGTTACTGTTATCTCGAAGGTTGAACACATAGTTTTTTATTGACATAATATCTGCATCTTGAAACATTATGTGGAATTGTATTTTATATATCTTTAAATTACTGACACATTAATTAATACAGCCATTTATCGTACACATAACTTAAACATAATTATTTCAATATAATATTTAAGTAATTCTTTCTTGAGTTTCTACATATATCCGACCTTCGAAAAATAATTATGTCTCATGCAAAGAGAACTAGAGCAAAAAGTGATGATTTGTCAAGTGAAAAAAAACTCAAACGATCGAATTCAAACGTCGTAGATTATATGACACAAATACAAACGAATTTAAGAATTAAAAATGTAGATATAAAGGAACATACATCTACCATATCTGAACCTGTTCCTAATAAGAAAGCAAAAGAAGATACCTCTGAGCATGCAATATCTACAATATCTGCATTTATCTCTGATAGATTGTTATCAATTGAACAAGAGCTTTGTAGCAAATTGCAAGATATTACTTTTCCACCATCCATACAATATATTTACAATCCACTCGAATATGCATCTGAAACACATGCCATGTATGTACACAAGTATTGTACTGGCATAAAAAAGATCTTGTTTGTTGGTATGAATCCTGGACCATGGGGCATGTCACAAACTGGTGTGCCATTTGGAGAAATAAATATGGTGCGAGATTGGCTCAAAATCTCTGGTCCTGTTGGCAAACCCTCAAAAGAACATCCTGATCGAAAGGTGATAGGATTCCAATGTACACGCAGTGAAGTTAGCGGATTAAGATTGTGGAGCCTCTTTCGAGAATTATGTGGAAATCCCGAGAACTTTTTCCAAAATGCATACATGCACAATTATTGCCCACTGGCATTTATGGATGGGAAAGCTCGAAACATCACACCGGCAGAAATAAAGGCAATATTATCCTGTTACATTCCTTTCTTCTTATGCTGAATTATTCTATATTTTTCAGGGTGATGGACAAAAGATTTTACATGAGGCTTGCGACAAATCCCTGATAGATATAATACAACTTCTGAAAGTAGAAATCGTCATTGGCATTGGCAACTATGCCGAAAAAAGAGCACAGATTGCAGTCCAAACAGGAGGTCTTCCAGTACAGGTAACATACTGCATTTTAATAGTAATAACATATATAATACAAAATTTATATTAACTCGTACAATGGCTTTTTCAGGTGATGGTTCTGCGACATCCCAGTCCAAGAGCAGTAGGTAATCAAAATTGGAATGAAATAGCTAAGCAGCGGCTAAATGAGTTGGAATTACTTAAATATTTTGACAATGCAAGTATTACTGCTGTCTAATTTTTCTTTTGTGTAAGATACTATTATTTTTAAAGGTATAATCAGATAGCATTTTTTTTTATTTTAAAATAACATTTTTTTATAAAGAATAAATTATGAAAGAATTAATAATTTTATAGAAAATTATCTTTAATATTGATTTTAAAAATATCTCGCCAGCATATAATACAATAATTAATAGTATTTATTATGGATACTTCGGCATGGATGGATGTTGCATTACAAAAAGCTGAGGAATCTTTAAAAGCCGGTGAAGTCCCTGTCGGTTGTTTATTTATATATAACAACCAAATAATTGCGACAGGCAATAATACAGTAAATGAAACTTGTAATGCAACACGTCATGCCGAAATAAATTGCATCGACCAAGTCTTAAAGTTCTGTAAGGAGAAATCCATGGACTACGAAATGGTGTTTCGTAATCTAGATGTAATTGTCACGGTAGAGCCGTGCATAATGTGTATGTCGGCATTACTTCAATTACAAATACACAGTATTGTATATGGCTGTGCGAACGATCGATTTGGTGGTTGTATCAGTGTTCTCGAAGTACCAAAGTTTTACGATTCAAAAATAATTATACAAGGAAATGTAAAAGGAGAGGAAGCCATGAGGTTACTCCAAGATTTTTATAAAGGTGTCAATCCAAATGCGCCTGAATCAAAAGTCAAAAAAGGTCGTAACACTAAAGGAACTTCGTCGACCGAGAACAAATAATTTTACAATTTTTTGTAATCCTACATTTATATGTGAAACTTTTTATTTGATATATTACGCGAATATAAAATATATTCTCCGTAATTAAGTATATCATACGCTGCTCCGACATATAATTTTATTGCACTAAGTTTTTATAATTTTTTACATTTCAAATGTACAATGTACAAATAGAATAATATTATTATTATTAAATTAACATTCGCACATTTTCATTTTAAGGTGTATCTGCACACACCCTTACATCTACGTGTTAGTTAATTTTCGTATTATAGGGATACTCTTACTCATTTATACATTATATACATATACAGTTTCATATATCCAAAATAAATATTACATAGGACTTACGCAATATACTTTTGATTTGATCATATGATCAACTGCACCATGTCTTGTCTAATTCGCATTTTCCTTGGTACCATCTAATAAGTAATTGATTTCTTAATGTGTAGTTGTTCAGCATCATGTCCTTTGTCTGTGAAAAATTTATTCAATTACAATCCAGCCGATTAGTAAACAAAAAAGTACGACTTACTATAGATGGTGGGAAAATTCTTTGAAAATCCATTCGATTTTGATGCTCGAGATAACTCTGCGATAAAATGAGTTTTATTTCTGATGTGAAACACGGTCGGCACAATTGACACTCTATGCGAAAGCAGTCATTATCACATTTTTTACAAAGTTCCGGTAGCACTACGATATTTTTATTCGCTATTTCCATCTCTTCCTCCTTTTTATTTCTATAATAATAATATTAATTTACTAATAAATCAAATATTTTTTATGTAAATAATTCTATTTATATATTTTTTTAGATGAATAGAGATACATTTCTAGAAATAGCTATATATTTCTAAGAGTCTTTTTGATATATTTACCTTATCCTCAAGGATTCTTTTCTAATTCTTTTGGCGATACCAACCAACGCAAATGTATTAAATATGACTTGCTCATATAATAATTGATTCGGAGGATAATGCGCGGAAGACAGGTTCGGCGACATGTTTGCTTCCATCATGTAGACATTCAGATCCTCGTCAAGGGCCAAGTCGAATCTTACAAGCTCGAAGAAATTTCTGCCATTGCCGAAGCGCTTGGAGACTTCTCTAATTTGCGCCTCCTTCATCAGAGCGACCTCCCGAATAGCGTCATACGCTCGATTCCACATTTCTGCCGGATTTTTTCCTTGCTCCCTGACGTATGCATCGAATGAGTCCTTCATCGAGTACCCGAGTTCAACATAGTATCTCTTCAAGGATGGCACGTTCCAAATCGGCAGATAATCATCGCCAACCACATATTTATCCAGAATCTCCGGATCAAACGGATAGTACACGATTGGACAGAAGCGGAATAGCACATCGCCCTTGTAAACATACACCCGCAACGGATCCACAGAAGTGATGACGGTGTACACGCCAATATCGAACTTGTAGCCATCCACGAGGAACGGTCGCTCGATAAACTCCTGAACGAATGTGCCGGCAGTGAAATTTGTATCGCTGCTGTCGCGAATGCGGATGCCACGATGATCGTTCGATTTCTGTACGAATAGTTTTGTGGGATTCAATTTAGCATAATCGATGAAAGCTTGCTGATCATCAGGCATCTTGAACGCTGCTGGGATATACCGACCGCCATGCGACGTCGACAAGTCCACTTTATTCGTGATGTAGCCGCAACCAGGAAAGTGATTGACTCGCTGATGTTGTTGCAATTTATTTAAGCTTGCGGACAACACACGAAAAGGATAATCGTGAGCCCACAACAAATCCCAATCGGATTTATTATTACCTTCCTGAAAACCGAGTCGTTGGAGTACTGAATACACATGCTTCAGGTAGCCGGTGTCATTGTTCTTGGCGTAGATCCAAAACTTTGGTCTAGCTTCATTTATTATCATCGGTCTCTCGAACAGATACCTCAAATGCGTTTGATAATGTAGATATATGAAAAATACGCCATACAGAATCAGAGGACCTACTACAGAATATAAAATAATCTTCAGCACTATCTTCATCTTCAAATTCATAATTTGTTTCTTCATTAAATATGGTGCTTCCTGTAACACAACATGTCTCGAAACATCGTCTAGTTAGAACTTTTTTAAATCTAATTAAAGATAAAGTGTGAGAGAAATTAAATTTTTAGTATTAGGTGTTGGAATTAATTCGTAGCGTTTTACAAGTGATTAATGATTTGAGTAAACTTTTAACTAAAAATATCTTTAAATAAAAAGGAATTGATTTATACTTTTAATTACTGTTCTCTCTTCTGTTTACAATATTGACTTATATATCAATTTGTTACTAATAAAAATAAATCTAAACAGTTTTTGCATATCGTACCTTTTTATCTTGCTTTTTTCCAAGTTTCTTTTCACTTGACATAATATAATATTATTTTGATTTAAGTAGAAACTAAAATTAATCTATCTGTCTAGTCCACAAGAAATTTACTTGTGAACAATGAAATGCACATCATTCACATGTGAAAGTATGTACCGTTGTAACTCATCCCCGCTTCTCTAACCGCCTTCCACGTGGGAGAATCATTGAAAAACCAGTTTCTCTTCACGTGACTACAATTTGTGACACGAATTGCAACGTTCATCGTAAAAATTATTAGAAATAAACATTTTCAAATTAATAATATTGAAGTATAATTGATTTTTACATTGATTTTATAAACTTTGATTTATTACTAATCTATAGATATAATTGGTAATTATTTTTTATATCTTATTTAAATGCAGTAAAACGCTTAAAATCATAGTTGTATCTTACTTAAATATTTTTTAATATTTATATCCACATAATTCTCTGAGGGATATTACAAGAACGTCTAAGAGAATATTCTTCCTAAGAATGTCGCCAGCATGTCCCTCGGAGAACTGTGTTGTATAAATGTCAATTCGTATTTTTTATAGTCTTCTAATTATTTTATTTAAGATTTTGGTAAGTTTGTATAAAATAGTCATCAATCTTATATACAAAATGTTTATAGTCATTGAATATTTTAGCGATGATTTAAAAAAAAAAGGAAATATGTTGTCTAATAAAATGTATAAATACGCAATTTTATATAAGATTTACAAATCTAAAAAAAAATGAAAAAAAATTTAATGACTATTTTTTTACAATATTTAATGATTACTTCTGTTGACGAAGTTTTCTAGCGACAGAATTTCTCTCCAATAATATGTATAATAAAATTTCTGTTTAATAATAATAATTTTTTGTTTTTTTATGAAAAATTGCAATAAATACTTGTTCTTTTTGAAATAAAATTCCATAATATTTGTGAATTTAAAAAATTGACATAATAAATATTAAGTTACATATATACAATATATATATATATATATATATAAATGTAAATAAATACAAAAATAATTTATGTATTTTGAATATATAAATTTATGTAAATATTATGTTACTGATATTAACATTTCTAAATATTATTGTAATTAGTGTTAATATTTGTTTTCGATCTGTTTAAAAACATAAACTTTTATAAACTTTCCACATTATTGATATATTCGCTCGATTTATAATAAAACTTTAATAAATTTTTTATAGAGCAAAATATATAAAAATTTTCAATACTTTTTATTATAATAATAAATAATTATTTGGTCTAAGTAGAAGAAAACATAGAAAATTTATATGCATTCCAAATATAAGCGCCTTCATTTCATTGATGATCACGTGATTGAACGCGCCGGCGCCGATAGCCGCGTAGATAAGCGATCTACAATTGCGTTGCTTACACTTTTTGCACTCAGGATCGTTGCTTTTTTTCTCTTCAATGCTCGAATATACAATATATTTATCTCATTTTAAGTGCAAAAATTTTGGCGACTTGAAGCGACGCAAACAATTCTTAAGGTGCAGTCACATGCAAGCGTTAAGCATCGAAAGCAGCAACCAATCAGCTGTGCGATACGGGCAGTAGTGTATTGTATAACAAATATTTTTTACGTCATTGTAAAATTCGCCTCGTTGATTGGTTGCTGCTTTCGCTGCTTGACGCTTGCATGTGAATGCATCTTTAGATTAGATTAGATTTCTGGAGCATTCTGAAGTCAACAGCAAGCTTCTATCTTCTAGTATCTTTTACCCCTGGCTCATTTCCTTTTCCTGTCTTTTACGTTTGTGAACTCGTTGGGTCTGATCGGTTCATTGCAGTGCGTTGTAAAAAAGACGTAACACGAGCAAGTATGGGTTTCCAGAATATTTGGTATTCACATCCACGAAAATACGGTCAAGGATCTAGATCCTGGTTAGTATAATGCTCCTCTTGTTCTCGCTAATTTTCAT